GGGCTTACATACTTTTTGGCCGTCCCAGCATTCCCTTATACCGTGATTGATTGAATGCTCTCAGAAAGGAATGTGGACAATGGCGTAGACGCTTCACCATTCAACCATGACAATCTTAGAATACAAACTTCCGTCTAAGGAATAGCTAAGCGGCGAATAGTCGATATTCCAGCTTCGGCTCTTTGCACTTACTACCCTGTAAAAGTACCGCTCTGAAGGGTAGTAGACAAAAATTTTCTCACCATTCGATATCCCCATCCATCCATCCCCACAATGGAGCTGTATAGGCTGATTGGTCAACTAACCGACAGTGAGGTTTGACGACAGACTTATTATTGTGCAACGGGAAATAGGAGCCTACTCTGGTGGCTGGATTTTCGGAAAGAAAGTCTTATCAAAGATTCGTGAAAATGGCCACAACGAACAACCACTCCTCGCCTATACGAACACACACACATACTAAGAAATGCATAGAACCTACACTGCCTCTGAGAAGATAACAGCAAGAATCTAGCCATTCATCGTCCGCATCTTTTTATTTCCTTCGAGTACCACGGCATACGGTCGGTGTATTAGACCACGTAGTAACTCGGGGTTAATCTCAGTACGTGGTGGCCACGAGAACTGCTTTTCGAGTGTTAATGACGGCGAGGACCATAGAAATGTATGCAAGCAGCGATGCAGATCGCCATGAGATGAATTTTTTCCAAAATGATAAAATCCATGCAACTTTCTCGCTCATTACTAAATTAGTATGGCTGAGAGGGCGACATTCGCAGGACGAATATATTATTGATCAAGATTGGTTGAGATTAATTGCGACAGATTTAATATTCTTATACGAGCCCATATATGTATGTGTGTTTGTTCAGCAAAATATAATTAAATTAAATGAGATTTTATTGTCAATTAAGCCATTAATGCATAATTACAATAATTACGCACTACATTACAATGGCGGCGAATGAACAATTTAAATGCTGTCGTACATACACTTATACGAATATACAGGATGAGCAAGGATACACAATTTCAAAGCTATAGTGAAGTACAATTCAATTGCGGCATGGAGTTGACTCTGATGTTCGGGCGTAAATGTGGTTAATCAGGACCTATTGCAACGTCCCACTTCACAATACACAACATTGGGTTGCACCAAAAGAAACCGGCGATTTTTTAAAAGAAAAAATACATTCTTTTAAATTTGATAATGAACTTTAATCATTTATGTAATTTACATTTTGTTGGATGATAAAGAACTTCCAGTCTTTACTACAAAAAACTGAGCCGAGTGCTATTTTATAGCCTCGTCATTTTACCATGGAATGAGTTCTACAAAGATCGAAGCAAATGGTAGTCGAACGGTGCGCGGTCAGGGTTATATGGTGGATGCCTCAACAGTTCCCAGCCAACAAGCCCTCTCAGCTTTTGGCGAGTAACCAAAGATGTGTGCGGTCTAGCGTTGTTCTGGTGGCATAAGACACCTTTACAATTGACCAATTCTGGTCGCTTCTCGTTGGTGAATGTATTAATTTTGTGCAGTTATTCACGTTAGACAAGCAAATTAATCTTCTTTTGGTGAATATCAACCTTTCAAGTGGTTTGTGGCGCTTCATCACTCTTGGATCATGAACGTTTTCGATTGACATTATTATAAACAATCCATTTTTCATCTCCAGTTATGATTTGCTTCAGAAACGAATGATATGAGTATTCATTGTGCATCTTATATGATGAATTTCTTTCGATTCATGTGGTACTCAAACACAATATAAAGTTTATTTACCAGTCCAAGACGTCGTATATGATTATGAACGGTTGATTCTAGTATACTTAACCACTCTTCAATCTCACGCTCAGTAACCGGATGATCCGATTCTATTAAAGCCTCGATATCGTCGTTATCAACTTCACTTGGCCCACCTGAACGTCGCTTATCTTTGACTGAAAGATCTTCCGAACGGAATTTGACAAACCAACTTCGACGCTGTGTTTCTTTAAAGGCAAATTATGTAACTTGTTAGGAACCTGCACTGATTTTTTTTCCTTTAAAGAAATAACAAAGTAGAATATGGCAAAAATGTCCAAAAAAAAATGTGAAAGCCGTCTGTATGAAAAATCGCCGGCTTCTTTGGGGGCAACCCAATTTTATCTAATTTTTTTGTTGTCCTATGCTGCTCTATAGTAAGTTCTTTTGGTATAAAATTTCAAACAATTTTTTTTTTGTAATTAATTTTTTTTCAATTATTTTTTAAACTCCTTTTTTCAAACAAATTACCTAAATTTTGGTATAATTAAGTCAAAAACACACTATTTTTGCTATTTTAATCCCCTCTAAAAATAAACAAATGCTGTCGTTATTTTAACAATCAACAAATACATTTACATATGTACATATGTATGTGCCCTGTGAATATTCACAGCTGCCACAAAATGTTGCGTTTAACCGAAATTGCGCAATTTCTGCAATAATAACGATAAATGGCTTTGTTTGTATTGCACATAACAACATGGGTATTTATGTATGTATGTAAGCAGGTTAAAATAAGCACATTAATATAATCCAGCCAACAAACGAACCGTTCACTGACACCATAACAATAACAATGAAAAAAAATTAAAGTGTTGTATTTGTTTAAGCAGGTTTTTTAATACTCAAAAACAAAAAAAAATATATAAATAGAAAAATCTTAAAAATTAATTAGTCAAAGAATAAAATTGCTTTTTGATGTGGGTGATATGGACGAAGGATGCAGCCACGTGTATAAGATCACTCAATGGGAGTGTCCAGAAACGATTATTTTACATATGTTTCAAGCAGCTCACGACTTCCGGTCTTATATCAAATAGCCTCTGAGTGCCAAAATACTTCCATTTGAAGGCGAGCTAAAATGAGAAGGCAAATCCGTTGTGGTCATGCGCAGGGTTTGGGAACTACAACATAAAAAAAATACTCCGATGAAAGATCAAAATATGCCTCTAATGAGAGAATCTCCCCCTCCCCTTTCCATGGCAACCCCAGCAAACATTTTAGGGATACCGATATGCCATCGATATGTCAGTTCTTTTAATTGGAAAGGTGGCGCTGCCCAACTGCTTGATATGCTAATAAGATGGAAGGCAGCCATCAGCGACATCTAAAAAGTGCGATGAACGAGAGAAGAATGCAATTCTGGTGCGAAACCATGGACGATGACAACATGTGATGAGTCGGCGTTAGGACTTATCGAAATAGAGAGAAAGAGAAAAAGAGCTATAATGCTTTGTACATTATTGGCAACGGCGCGTACCAGAATCCAGGTTTGCCATGTAATGACCTTTTCCACCAAGAAAGAAATTTCCTCTTTTCAGGACAGTTAACATAGTGGATTGATTAAAAGAGATGGTTAAAATATTTTCAATCGTCTCCACCTCTACATATTTTTATTGAAAATCACTGATCTTATTATTCTTTTCGCTTTCTGCTAAGCATCTTGCTGATATTGTAGTGATATCTACTAATACTGTTCTTCTAGGGTGATTCCTGCAGTCTCCGATAACAGGGTTATCTGTATCTGTGGATATCGTAAGTACGAAGACTTCCAAACATGGGAATATGAATGTTGCTCTATCGCCTGAAAAAGTCGGATCCTCTTGAAACTTTCTAAGAGCCTGTAGAGAGCATAGAGCTTGGGTAGGTCGAGTGACTTCAGCTCGTGCATAAGCCATATTTTTTATGTTTTCAATTTAAGATTTCCACGGTCTTCATATACACTCTCAGCTATGTCCGCTATATTTTCTTCAGTGCATGCTGGCCATGGTCTCTTCGGTCGAATATTATCTAGTAATGAATGTTTGGTCTCAAAATGGGTGAAAGTGTTGCGTATAGTACGCTCAGTAGGGCGCTTTTATGAAGACCATCAGTAGAGCGAAGCGCGCGAAACACATTCTTTACAGAACGTGAATCTTTGTAATAAAGTTGAATGATATGTAAACGTTGTTCAGGCTTAAGTCTTTTAATGAATGTCAAACAATACTAAGCAAAAATAACGTGACAGCTTGGCACTACTCACGGATGTCTTTTTACTACACCTAATATATTGAGATTTGGAAATCTAGTGATAAAGCGCAGTTTGGCCAGCTGAGCCGTTCTGATGCCTATGTTGATTCTATGAAGGAAACTCTCTTACTTTTCCAGATGCTAAAGCCACTTGTTGTAATCTGGAGATTAATAATATCTATAGATTCAAGATGTGCAAGGCAATAAAAGCCAAAATTACCGAGAACACGATAATGTCACTGCAGCTGCGACCAAATAGAGAGAGCCCATTTTTCTACCATGAGTCCCCACAACACAGTGTACGGTTTTTACGCCGGTTGTTATGCTTATAGAGGTCCTGTCCTTAGTAGTAAAGACGTATACATGATTTCACTCTACCATCTGCTGTTGACGCTTAAGGCCTGGGCCTTAACAGATATTTTGTCGAGGAAGTAATTACACCCCCTGCGGGTTAGGGGCTCTAGAATTTATCCGCGGTAAGGCATGCCTGTCGTAAGAGGCGACTAAAATCCAATAGTTCCCGCGAAAGTCGGGTCTTTATACTGGAACGACCCGGATTTTTATGCGGCCAAGGACTGTCACTCCCGCAACATTCCCAAAAAAGTACTTTGGGGAATAATTTTGCGGTTACAACAACAACAGGAAGTAATTACAAATCGCCAAGTTGATCAAAATTTCTGGAGTGAGACTACCTTATACAACTTTTATTTCATGATTCAAATTATATACCACGTAAAACTCTGCCCCTTTAATTTATTATTTTTTTTTTAATTCATCTTCACTCACCTTGTTGTGGCTTGAAAATAAGTGCGGTGCATAGAAAACATTTGAATTTGAAATTTTTCATTTTATTTTATTGTGTCTACTTTTTTATTATTCACGAATCACTGTAAATAAGTAAAAATATGTATGTATGCATGTTTTTCTTCTTTATGTATGTTGTTCTTCTTGTTGTAGTAGCTTTTTTTTTTTTTTGTTGTAAAAAAGGAGACACTGAAAACAAGTTGATGCGCCTGCCGCCTAACTACGCTAAAGTATTTTCAATTGTATTAATTTAAAATAAAAATAGATAACATGAATTTATATTTAAGCAAATACCAATTTGTAATACTCATTATATATTAGTTACGTTTTGATTTTGCGTACGAAATGTGCAGCGCAACAACTTTTTCGTTTTGTTAGGAATTTGTTTTTTTTTCTCGTTTGCGATTTCTAATTGCATACCTGTGTATAACAAAGGTTGACATACAAGTAATGTATATACATCAAAGGTATGCCATGTGAAAAGTCCCAGGAATATGTAATTAATATTAATGCATGTTTGTATGTATGTATATTCTGGAAAAAAAATGTTAATTGCTCTTTTTTTTTTGTTGCCTTCATTTATTAAATCTCTGCTCTAGTGCTTTGCTTTATAATCCTTTGCTTGTATATTTTCGAATTTATTTTTTATTTTTTACTTTATTTTATTTTATTTTTTTTTTTTTAATTTGTATTGCCTCGCTAAATATTCAATGCATCCAAATATCTTACACAAATAATTGTTTTCTCTACAATTCGACCGTACTCACTCTTTCCGTCACGCTGAACCCCGTCAACGAATTACAGTCATTTGAATGCGTTTTTAAAATTGTTATGGAAAAATTCTCTGACATCACCTATTATCAATTAACTAGAGCTACTTTTATGCAAAGATATTAATATTTAATTTGTTTTGTTGTTTTTACTTTTTCCCTTTGTATTTCATTATCAAGTTACAAAATACAAAAAAAAAAATAAACGTTTGCCTGCTACGGACAATAATTAATGAAGACACTCATGCAGAGTGTTGCAAATATTCCTTTAGGAAGAAAAAAAAAAAGTAATTAACCTGCTCAGCACAGTTTAACGGTATATAAGGTCTCAAGTGTGAAAATTAGGTTAGGAAATCGGTATGTTAGTGTTATAATGAATAGTGGTTGATAATGCGCAGACATTGTGTGTTTTCGTAGTTCTTTTTATTTACTTCCAACATGTCAACTTCATTCTCGTAAGAGTTGTATGCATAATTATTTATTGTATTTTATTTTACTACAACCGCACCACATTTATATTATGCATATAGGTATGCATGTGTGTTTTTTAAGTTAAATTTGTTAAATATTATTGTTATAGTTATTGTAATTGCTAGTTTGCGCATGCATTAAGCGCTGATATAATGGTTTGTGGGATGTTTTCTAAATATATTTCATGTTCGAGCATTCGATTTCCCTTTATTTTGTTTTCGTATTTTTTGTTTACTTTGATGTTCATCTACACATTTATTCAGCTTAAACTTTTTTTAATTGAATTTTCAGCGTTTTTAATTGATGTGTATGCGTGTGAATTTATTTTAATGTATTTTTTTTTAGGTATCTAGACGTTATCTATTGGTTGAATTGGTGTTATTACGGCTGCTGGTTTATGGTTTGCACATGCTCTTGTTGTTCTTGTAAATATATAGTAATATATAGTTAAAGTTGAATTGCATATCATATGCATATTGCAGTTGTATTACAAATCCGCAGTCTTCTCATCAGCAGATATAGCGTTCGGTTTTGATTTCTCATCAACATGATTTACATCATTGGCAGCTGCATTCGATTCGGTATCCGCAATGTCCTTGAAGACGCGCGCATACTTGAAACGTTGCTGACATGTAGTCCGGTATTGCCTTAACTCTGCAGTACACTCACCGAAAGCGCCACTACGTAGCGCTTCAAAGATCTTTGTGGCTTCCTTTAGAGACAAGATAATATTTTGATTTGATGATAATTATTACTCAAAGTAAATATGTAAAAATTCAAAATTGAAATTCAAAATTCGAAAAAAAAAAATTCAAAATTAAAAAAAAAATTTAAATTCTAAATAAAAATTAAAATAAAAATTAAAAATTATTAACAAAAAATTTAAAATATTTGAAAAAATTTAAAAAATATTTAAAAAATATATAAAAAAAATTAAAAAAAAATAAAAAAAAAAACAGAAAAATAAACATTACAAAAAAAAAATTGACATTAAAAAACAAAAAAACATTTAAGATTAAAAAACAAAAATTGAAAGAAGATAAAAATTTAAAAAAAATTTAAACTAAAATAAAAATTAAAAAAATATAAATTAAAATATTAATACAATAAAAAAAGGTAAAAAAATAAAAAAAAATTAAAAGTTTTAATAAAGCAAAATCAAAAGAAAAAATTAAAATTAAAAATATAAAGATAAAAAACAAAAAATTTTAAGTAAATATATATAAGAATTATAAACAAATTAAAATTAAAAAAAAAAATAAAAATTGAAAAAAATAAAACTAAACAACAATATATAAAAGAAAAATTAAAAGCAAATTAAAATTAACTAATACTGAACTACATTTTAAAAAGTTAAATATTTTATATAATAAAAATAAAAACAAAAATAAAGAATATACTATGAATTAAGATAAAAAACAAAAAAATTTATAAACCAATCAAATAAAAACAATGTAAATTAAAGGAAAAAATTAAAAAGGTGAAAAAATATAAAAATTAATAAAATTGAAGAGCATAAATTAAATAATTAAAACTTAAAATAAAACAAATTCAAAATTAATTTAAATAAATTAAAAATAAAAAAACTAAAGATATTTTATGCATAAAATCAAATTTAAAAAATATGTATATGAAGCATAAAAACAATAAAAATTAAGCAAAAAATTTATTACTAATAAAAATTAAAAATAAAAATAAAATAAAAAATACGAAAAAAATATAAAAATTAATTACAACAAAGAAATAATAAAAATTTAAAATAAAACAAAGTTATAACTAATTTAAGCAAAATAAAAATAAAAAAATCAAAATAAAAAAATCAAAATAAAAAAATAAAAATAATAAATAAAAATATTTTATGCATAAAATAAGTTTAAAAAATATAATATGAAACATAAAAACAAGATATATTACAAAATTAAAAGCAAATATTAACAATAAAAAATAATAACAAATATGAAAAAATATAATATAAAATAAATAAAAAATAATTAAATTAAGTGAAAACAATATTAAAAATAATAAAATAAGAAAATAAAAAAATTTAAATAAAAATTAAATGATAAAATAAAATATATGAAATGAATAAAATTCAAAAAAAAACTACGGAAGATAGAAAAATATAAATTAAAACCAACTAAAAAGTAGCATAAAAAATTGTAAAAATTAAATAAAAAATTTAAAAAATTAAATGTGATAAAAATTTAAAATTAAAAGGATAATTAAAAAAAATAAATTAAATAAAAAATAAAACAAAATTTAAAATCAATAAATGAAAATATAAAATAATATAATAGATTATTTCAATAAAATTCAAAAAATTATATGTTAGAAATATTTTAATACTCACTTCCAGTTTTACTTTATTAATGTCGAATGAGGTAATCAACTTAATGGCTTCATTGCGTTTATTCGGATCCAGCTCGTACATTATGCGTGCGCCCTCGTATAGATGCATTATGGAGTCAGACTTTTGCGCCACAAACTCATCATTCAATTGTTGTACACTCTTTGTTCCTATCAGCTCTTTTGTGGCCTTGTCTATAACCGTTTGTACGCTTACATTCAACTCACCATTGGCTGTTAGTTTGGACAAGGCTTGCGCAAATCTAGCTATGCATGCATGTATAGATGAATGTGTCGCATCGATGGCGATCGCACGTCTAATCGATTGCAGCATAAGCAATATTTTGTTTTTGCGGCAGTATATTTCAAATGCCAGTAAATGCGTTTCAATGCGATCTTTGGCCAATTGTTGTAATGGTTTAAGGAACTCAATAGCCTTATCGAGTGGATCATCCGGTCGCTCTAGTTTTTCTGGTATGAGCTCATCTAATTGCGGAGCCTCTGGATCAGCCTCCTGATTTGCCTGCTGTTTGGATTTTTGATGTTGTTCACGCTTAACTTGCGCTTGTGCAGCTTGTGCGCTTTCAAGTTCGGCTTTTTTCTTGGCCTTACGCTGCTTACTACGCAGCTTCTTCAGCTCCGATGGTGGGAGATTTTCTACAAGTTTATATAAAAATTATACGTAAATATTTTATGATTTAAAATATTGTGTATTAACTACCTGAATCAATTTCTTCAATGGTTTCTTCCGATTTGAGCGGTTTGTCGTATAAGCGAATGTATACCTTGATGAAAAAAAAATTAATCAATACAACGATTTTTCTGCACAATTTCGCTCACCTCTATGGCACATTTCGCCGCTTTAAAGTAGAAAGGATGGCGACGTAACACATCTTCCAATCGCAATAGTCCGATATACGCACGCAACGTCATCTTACGCATACAATACGTATGGAAGTCGAATTGATCTTCAATAATCTCGGAAAAGTGACGATCTACTTCGTGACATTTCTTCAATGAATCACCCCAAAGACCCATGCGTTGGTAAGCGAGTGCACATTCGGTTTGGAACCACATGCACTGCATCTCGTTCAAATTTTCCATGGCAGTCACACCTTCACGTGTGAATTTTGAACAAATTTCTTCAGCCTCCTTAACCAAGTTCGCACGTAGCATGTACTTGGCACATTTTGAGTTGATATAACTGAAAATATGGTAAATATACTACTAACATTCTATAATAATATACAGTAACTACACTAACCGATCAGCGGTATCCATGCTTTGAGCTTCATCCATCCACATGTAAGCTTCGACAGGGTCGCCAGCATGCTTGTAAATACGACCTTTGGTCATGAAAAGCTCAATGAGCGTAGGCGTGTGTTCAATTGCTGCATTTACGTATTCCAGAGCATGTTCCGTATCGCGTTTGTAGTCGTAGTGTTGTGCCAAGAACAATGCCGTCCAAACAAGTGCCGACGCTGGCTCTACTGGAAGATTTGCATCGGCATCTTCCCTTGAAAAGTGTCCAGAACGTGTCAAGTTTTCATAATATTGTAACGCTAATTCTTCAATAATCGCCGCTTTTTCATGATTACGATGTAATACACGCACGTTTACAAATAATGGTGGTACGCCTTTACGTAAACCGCGGCGCAGATACGAATCCAGGGCGGCCCTAAATGCATCACCACTAGCAACATCCAGTGGCAATCGTTTGGGACACATGGCGCGCGGGTATATTTCCTCGAATTGTTTGAAAGCAGCCAGCTTATCAGCTGGTTCCGTAAATTCTCGTGCTGCAAAGTATTGCGAATAGTATAATGTGTTCTCCGGATTGCGACGAATCAACTCCTCAAAAATGGGTACAGCCAATGCCGGTTGTCCTAACTTAATATGCAAATCACCCACGGATTCTTGAACAGCCAGCTTATCGACAATTTGACTCTCATATTGATGAAGATGGTCAAGCGCTCGCTGAAGATTTCCAGCTTCTATAAGTATTTGATTTTGGTACAGCAGAAGTTCTGAATGGCGATAATCATGAGTTTCCTGGATGTAAACAGTTCGTTAGAACACAAATAAAAAATATATAATTTGTGTATACATACTATAGAGGCTTGTGATTGACTGAAGGTTTCCAGTATACTATTGGCCATTTCGAGATCCCCAATTAAATGATAGCTCATTGCGAAACCAATCCAGCTGGCATGTTGCGAGGGTCTTAGAGTAAATAGGTGATGGCGTGTTTCCTTATAGCCTTCGAGATCACGCATTTGTATCTGCAGCAGTGATAAATCCTTAAGAATTTGTAGATTATCCTTTTCCCATTTCAAAGCGTTTCGATAGCACTTAATCGCTTCGTCATATTTTTTATCACTCCGCTGGAGTAAACCGTAAACATGCCAACAAACATGGGATCGTAAATCTTTTCGCAAACCTAAACGTACATACTTATACGCTTCATCCCGACGACCCAGACCATTTAGGGTCAAGCCTTTCATAGCCAATGTTTCACCATGCTCCGCATATTTGGGATTCGAGAGAATCTGCTTCGCTAATTTTAAACCATTTTTGTACTGCTTCATTTCATAGCATTTCTAAAAAATAAATTATGAAAGAAGTAATATGATTTTTTTAGTTAACAATTTAGTAATGCAGAAATTATAATTTGACGAACACGGATATCAACATAATTTTTCATCGTACCATTTATCTTAATGGTTACATTTTGAGGTTATGTTTGGCCAATATTTTTCAATAAAATAATTGGAGCTTCTTCCAAAGTTTGTATATAGCCTTTACATCAATCACCACCATTCTAATTTAAAACCATCACTAATTTATCTTACAGTAATGTACTATGATCCCTTTAACATATCTATAGTCTAAAGTGGTATGACTTGTAGAATCAGAATGTCATTGAAAAATATCTGAAAAGCCGCTTAGCTCAAGGAAAATCGGATTTCTTATTACAATTTTAACACATTTTCGTGTTTTCCTTATGAATAATTTATTTGTAACTCAGACACAAAAATTCTATATAAAACACCTACCAACAGCTTCCTGAAGAGCGCACTCTCCTTGGGCGGCAGTGGATCGCTGGAAGGCATCTTGCACACTCGAGTTTTAACCAACGCACAAGATTAACACTATTCAGACTGGTTGCGTTAATACAAACGGAATACACAAATCTTTCACAGAAATTTTCGTCACGGACAGTGAAAATTTTCACAAAATTTCCGTGGAAGCTTTACCACGAGCAAAATTGAGATGTCGATCCGTGCTCGACAGAAAAGAAGAAGAAGCAAACGGAGCAGTGACAAACACACAAACACACACTAGTCATGAATAGACAGAATTGTCAAATCCGTCAATGGCAATCGTTACATGATATGCCAGACTAATTGCGTTTTAATCGAAAAAATAAATCTATTTTAATTTTACTTTATAGAGAAACATGTTTTTACACAAATCGAAATGAATTTTCGGCTTTTAATAAAATTTACAATAGGTCTTTCTTTAGAATAAATTGCTGAGGTACAGACTCAGGTGCTCACGATAGACTTTGATTTCTGGTATAAAAAATATGGCAGCGCTGAGAAGATAGAACTGTCACTGAAATGTAATTTCGGCACAAATCGAACAGCCCTTCTAAGGGATTTCAAACATCTGTTTTTTACAAATTGGATAACAAACTCCAAATTTTTTATAAGGCAGGATGAATCAGTTAACTAGCAGGATTGGCTCCCTCGTGTGCCAAAGCGTACAAATAGCAGGTTGTGGTGTAAGTGAAACAAAAATTGGATTGTAGAACAGTTTTAAGTGCACTTTCAAATTTTTCTACAGCTGCAGCAGGTGCGCACAAAATACGCTGATTGGCGCATGATACGCGATGTCAAGCGACGTAAATGTGTTGCCGAACATGCCAAGGAACGTCTGCGAGTTAATGCTCTACGCAAGAATGACATTCTACCAGCAGAGTTACGTGAGATCGCTGATGCTGAAATAGCTGCTTTCCCACGAGATTCATGTTTAGTACGTGTGCGCGAACGTTGTGCGCTTACGTCACGTTCTCGAGGAATTGTCCATAGATACCGACTGAGTCGCATTGTTTGGAGACACCTCGCTGACTACAATAAATTATCAGGTGTACAGCGTGCTATGTGGTAATGAAAAACTCCCTCGTATGTTGCAATTAAATTTAATTACGTAAAATAATTATTAAATAAATATAAACGGTCAAACTAAAATTGGTAGTTCAGATTGCAACTCCAGCAAACTCAAACTATTATAGGACATAGCAGCAGTGCGCTTGTAGCTGTCTTTGCATATTTCCGGATACTTTTCAGCCAGTAGAGCGATAGATTCTGTAATACAACGGGATTAATCTTCTTTAAATATTATAACTTTGCGGAATTTTTCCGAATTACCTTTTATGGACTTTTGTAAACGTACTTCAGGTCCTTCATAGTGCAGAAACATCATATCGAAAGCTTTTTTGATAAATGCCTCCCAAATTTCATATTCAAATTTGCCTTCCTCTTCGACGGCGACTTTGCTAAACTTTGGGCGTAACTTTGGTATAACCGCTGCAGCTAGTTCACGTATACCGGATGCAGGATCATCCAAACGTTGCAAAGTAGCTGAAAACAAGTACATTTTAAAACATCAACAATATCGCAATTAATATTAAAAACACACCATAGGCAATAGGCTTTAATTGCTCTACCCCGACTTCACCAAATTTGAAAAGACATTTAACCGAGTAATGACGAGTTGCAACCGCACGGTCTTCCAGTAAATTCGGCAGGTATTTTCCAACGCAATCAGGTAAAACAAAGGATGCTTCTTCAATGGCACCTTGTGACATAGCACATAAAGTTGCCATAGCAAGTGAACGCATGGACTCTGCATTCGCCCCTGCACGCCATTGTAAATGAGGCTCGACCACACACATCACAAAAGAACGTAGTAATTCTGTACTTTCAGCTACCGGGCGATCAATAGTTTCTGACCACTGCAACATGACGATTGATATGCTTGTGAAAATCTTCACTTTAGCTGAATCTGCAGAATTCTCCCAAACTAAATTAATTTTATTTTGTAAATCTTGCAAATATGTTGCACGCAGCTTGGATATGTTGATTAAACCATTTAGTAACAAAATTGGCTCGGTAAGATCGTCCAGTGCTGCATCTAGATTTTGCACATAAGTTAAGGCATGAACAAATAAATTTTCATGTAAAGCTGAAATTGAAATTTTCTGCCGATTAGCTATTTTGGCCAATATGCCATTGCCGATTTCTTGAAGTTCAGCTGCATTGGATTGTTCCGAGTCGAATGAGAGAGCCATAACTTTAATTGTCGCAATATAACAATTCAAATTAAGGTCTTGATTAGCCGAGTTACTTTGCTCATCATGTTCTGACTTAACTTCGATTTCGCTTGATTTTAATAGTATAGTTTCTATCATTTTTAAAACATATAGTTGCAATTGTGGCTTGAGTGTCTGAGAAAATTCGTTTTGGATTAAAATTTCTGATATTCTCACAAGATCACCCAACTTAGTTCCCAAACTTGCAGTGAACATGAAGTAAAAACATTTTAAATACCCATCCTTGGCATTTTTCACCAGACCATCGAATCCATGTTCGATCCAATCATCATATGAGAAGAGACGACCCATCAAATCGGCAACTTTCATGGCCTCAGCGTTTACTAAAGGCTCTTCATCACGGCAGGCACGGGCGACATCACCATAAATTTCGAAAAACTTCGCTGTCATAACAGCTTCAGCGTGCAATACAAATTGGTACAGTAGTTTGAGGGAATGAAGACGAACGTTAACTTTCCAATCGTTGGACTCACGAGTGATTAGGCTTAATAGACGCAGCGAACGCTGTACTATCGCCCGGCACCCAATTGTCGGACGTTCAACAGCCGGAGGATAGTTTTTTGCAGGTATATCCGCTATTTCCTGTTTGCTTAGCTCTGATTCATTTTCATCATAATATTGCTTACCACATTTCACCCATAATGGATGAATATAGGTAACTACTTCAGGAGAATCGTCTTTTAGGCTGTTAAATTGAAATCAAAGGAACGCTTAGTATTCAAAGTTATAATACCTTGAAAAACTTACCAACACAACACAAAAGGTATAATACGTTCAAAGAAAGAATATCGGTCTCTTAATTCAAGTGCTAAAAGTACACCCAGTTTACCACATTCACGCCGAACTAGTGGCATCGAGTCCATCAACAATGGTGACACTTCCATAATCAAATGTGATAAAACGTCATTCTTTGGATCTACATGCAATGCCAATCGACCAAGCGCTTCTACAGCTGATATACGCGCCAAGGAGTGTTTATGATTTAGCATGCTATACAGTGGTTTCGTCAATTTCTCTGTAAATGGCTGTATTGCCATAGTATCGGCCGCTTTAGACAATTCTATTACACACGAACAAGCCAGCCGTTGTACTGCAGGGAACGCATCGCTGAGAGCTTTCGCCAAAATACAAACAACATCAGCGTAGCACTCTTGAAGCGAGCCGTTATTCCCAGTTCCCACATACTTATCAATGAGTGTATATAACTGTTGTACATATTGTAAACGAATTTCCTCACTTGGTTCTAGTGTTTCTTGTTGTCCCATGCGCCCGAGCAAAGTTGAAACAATATTTGTTAAATGGAAGTCATTTGGTGGTAGATGATTTATGAAAACAGTGACAGTTTCCACGGCTTTCTCTCGTACGCTTTCAAAGCGATCGGAATAACATTTTAATAAATGCAGGTATGTATCATCGAACAAGGAATGTATTTGAGAAGAAGATTCCTTTTCACAACGTACTTGTAACTGCTGCAAGGTTGAAAGCTTTTTAAATCGGTTATCCGATTGTAGGTTTTCGCAAATTTCTTCTATGTTGAAAGACATACTTCCTTAAAATCAATGATTGTACGAAACCTTGTCAGATTTTTCGAAAAAACTTGAAATCAGAAATTACTAGATTTTTAAACAGAAATATGTTGCCAGGTAACATATCGCCTTGTATTCTGTGTTTATGTATTTACATTTTTCAATTGGTTGTCAGACAGCTGTTTTTGACATATTAAAATGCAATTCACAATAGAAGTCCAGAAATAATAAATTAAACCACATAGGAGTAGTGGAAATTCTTGGTTACTCTGTAATCAGCTGATCAGCTAGTATATCTTTGTTGTCAGAAACAAAAAGGTAACTTTTGCCCGCTGTAGAAACTATTTCTGTTATTTAAGTAGCGAATATAGATAAACAATAGTGATTGCATTGATGGAATCGTAATACTAAATATGAGTGATTTAACAGATAAAGTGATTGCCGCGAAAACGGCTTTAATAGCCGCTTTGGGTGACAGTGCCCCGAAATATTTAGCAAACATGAAACTATGGTTTCGTTATAAATGGACCAAGGAGGAATTTGATAGTGAATCAAGAAAATTCCTTACACCCGATAAAATGCATTTACACAATCAATTTCTCATAGCTATACTTAACAAAATTGACACATTTCAAACGCCACAACAATCGCCTTCACTTTTTGCAAACAGTAGTGGTGTTGGTACTACACCTAGCGGTGCCAGTGGTGGAAGTAGCAGCAGTCGTAGTCGTAAACGCAAGCGAAGCTCCAGAGCTGTCAGCGATCGTGTAACATTCGAGCCATATGACTTTCTTGATTTTATTGTGGAAGATAACTTGGAATGCATTAAACCCACCGCTGGTACGGATGCCAATGTACAGATATTACCCACACAGCGTTACTGTGTACAGGAGCTATTTTTGCCAGATGCAGGATTTGTACTTGGTCGTTTTCTTATTGGTGCTTGGGAAATGGGACTGACGAATGTGGAAGATAACGTAGCTGAGTATGTCGCAATGGCAGTGCAGGTGCTCCTAAAAAATCTTATATCTGCGATTATAATGAACCGTAAACATTATAAAGTAACCGGAGATGGCTCCTTCTATTACGATGTTGGCGCAGCGCTAAAAGACCCCTCCTTGCGAAATACTGTTACTCGACAGAAAATTGATGATGGTCCACTGGAATTAGATAAGGAAATAACATCACCCAATTTCATGCGCCGTTCAAATGAGGATGGTGTTTTTCTGTCTGCTTGTGAAGAAGTGTATGTATATATTAAATTATAACTAGAAGTATATTTTAAGAATTTTTCCTTCATTTTAGAGAACCACAAAAGCGGGAATTGATTACATTAGGAGATGCACAGCGAGCTTTTAACGATCGCAACCTCATAGCTTCCCACACTGTTTATGCTATCAATATGGAACGACTCACACAGATGTTGCATTAATATTATGGAATAACATTACTAAGCTAAGATAACTTGAATTTTCTATGAAATTTTATTTAAAATATTTTTTTCTTATATTAAAAAGTGTTTACTCATAAGTATTTACAATTTAGAAAATTTTGGTTTTTCCTTGGTTAAGGCAGCTACCGCTGCATTAGCGAAATCTTCAGATTGCAAATTCAGTTTATTAATTTGACGCTGTAAAGAAAGAATGCGAATATAGTTTCGGTTTCGTACTTATGTATGGATGAAGTAGTATTCTTCTTACAATATGATCCAACCCCTCTTGATTCGTTCTAGATTGCGAATAAATTAAATTTGCTTTTGTGGCTTGCACTGCAATGGGACTCTTCTCAGCGATGGTTTCTGCCAATTCCAACGCGCCTTCCACACAAGCTTCTTTTGTTGGAAAAACTTTGCTTACCAAACCTAAATTGTGTGCCTCAGCAGCACCAAAGCGTCGTGCAGTATAGCAAAGTTCCCTGGCTAACGATACGTTACCCACAATTTTCGGTAGACGTTGTAATACACCTACATCTGCAGCCATGCCTATGTCGACCTCTTTAACCGAAAAAAATGCATCTTCACTGCAATAACGAATATCAGCAGCAGTTATTAGGTTAACACCAGCGCCTATACAGCCCGAGTGCATGGCTGCTATAACAGGCTTTGCGCATACTTCCAAAGAAGACATTGAATCTTGATAGAGTTTGATAGTATGCTCCAAGAAAGCTCCTTTCCTAGCCACGTCATCTTGTGCACCTAAATCTTGTCCTAGTTTCATTGCATCAGTTAAATCAAGTCCGCCAGAGAAGTGCTTTCCGGCTGCAGATAAAACAATGACCCGGCATTCGGGATTTGTGCTAAGATGTTCGAAGCATTGTTTAACTTCACTAAAGTAAAATACCAGTACAAAAGTTAAATAAAATTATTTATACTGTACATTTATGAAGTTATGGACTCACATCCACATATCCTTATTAAATGTGTTTAGTTTTTTTGGACGATTCAACTCTACATGGTAGACAAACTGCTTAGGAGTAGTCACATTTAAAGTATGAAATGAAACGCCTTCGTGTTGATGCAAATTATTATTACTCATGTTGCGCTCTACTTTGGTGATCAAGGAGTTCCGTAAGCCTAAAGATAAACTGAATATTTATATATCTGAAGATATACATATATTTACGTAGTACTGTAAATATATATGTATGTATGTATACACATATAAACAAATCTTGTTACGTTATGAACTTTGGACTTAAATCTGGAAATACTAACCAATTGAACTAATTAATGCGTGAGATTTATTTCCTAATGCTCTTAACGCCATTTTCCTAAATAATTCGAACTAAAAATTATAAATAAAATAATTAACTGCAAAAGAAGTGAAAACACCGATCGCAGTCACTGAAATCACTGTGGTATGTATACATCAATAAAGCAGAGTTTATTGAGAGTGAATACAGTAATAATTGGATTAAAGTCCCACGATTTGTTCTGTTATATGTACAGCGACACCAAACTTTTTTTCTGTTATCATGTAGTCTGAATGAAGTTTGCTACAATTCACAACGCTCTCGGCGATATATGTCCTTTGTACACTGCTTTCCAACGGATTAATATAATATATTCTTCCTGATACTGCAAGCATTGCGCAGACTATTATAATTATCCATATTGTTACGATTTTACTAAATCAACCTCGATTATTTTCTAAATCCTTCGGGTACGATCTCTGGATTGTTAAATAAAAACTCGCAAATTTAATTTTCAGTTTCTTTTGTTATAAAGAATTAATCTAATGTCCTTTATTTTCTCAATAATTAACAACTCAATTATAATGCACTTTACTATTTACAATCACTAGTATCAACTTTCACAATTTAATGTACTTAATTGTAATCTCCAACGCGTTTACTTTCCGACTTTACTGATGTTAACGCCAACTAGTTCACTATGTAACTAACTTTTTGGCAGCTGAGTGTCCCCTTATATAGCAGTCGGCTGCTCGCAGACGAAAGCGTAGAAGCATCGATTTGTTCGCTATGGAAGGTTCTTGTTTTATCGTTTCTAGAATGTACTAGTTATCGGGTTCTCTCTTTCATCTGACATTCGCCTCGTATTTTCGCAACAATATATATCATTGTTTATTTCAAGTATATTATGGGCACTATGTAACCGCTGAAGTGATTTTCAACCGAGCTACTCCTTCAGTTCGCATCGTCCTGATGTCTGTTTAAATTAATTTATTTTAAGTGTTATAATATATTTATTATATATATATTTATTATTATTTGTAAGAATAGTGTAGGTTGTGTTTGAGAAGGATTAAGATGATTATATACCAAAACCACTATATTACTAATCTTTGCTAAATTTAGCATGCCAAATCCAAGAAAAGTGTGTACAAGCCATTATTGATTTTATGTAACATCTTAATCACCCTGTTATGGTTCACATTTTAAGATGACGTTTTGAGTTCATCTTTGCTAAAAACATTTCTGATGTGAATTTAAAGCTGTATTCTTTTTCTTTTTTTTTTTGGCTTTGGTTGAGTATCAAAGTTTTTAATTTTTTCAAATGGTAATTGTGGAAGTTTACCATCAAACTAAGTCAAGCATTGTCAATATGACAAGCTCAGCCGTGTCATCGACCATGGCTAACACAAATGCCTCAGTAACTGGCGGTACATCCAGCGCTGGAGGGACAGGCGCGACTGGTGCTGAATCTGAAACGGCCGCGAAACCAGCATACCCACGTTTATTTAACAAAATTGTTTTGACTTTGGAGAATAGCCTTATACATGAAGCAAAGCTCAATGCTACACCGTCGCATGTGGATGGCTTGGATCCAGAAACGGAAAAAGATCTACGCATACTTGGATGCGAGCTAATACAAACTGCAGGCATTTTGCTGAAACTACCACAGGTAGCTATGGCTACTGGGCAAGTAATTTTCCAACGCTTCTTCTACTCGAAAAGCTTTGTGCGTTACAATATGGAGACAGTGGCAATGAGTTGCGTCTGCTTGGCATCTAAAATTGAGGAAGCACCCCGACGCATACGAGACGTAATTAACGTGTTTCATCACATTAAACAAGTTCGCGCACAAAAGTAAGTGATTTAATCTTCTTTTCGCTTTATATTTTGTTTTACTATGTACCTACGTATTGTTGTTTTTTTGTTTTTTTTTTTCAGAGATATTGCACCAATGATTTTAGATCAGACTTACACGAATATGAAAACACAAGTTATAAAAGCTGAACGGCGTGTACTTAAAGAGCTAGGCTTTTGTGTCCATGTAAAACATCCCCATAAGCTGATTGTGATGTATTTACAAGTAATGAAATACGAAAAACATGAGAAACTTATGCAGATGTCATGGAATTTCATGAACGACTCACTACGTACTGATGTTTTCATGCGTTATCAACCGGAAACCATAGCTTGTGCTTGCATTTATTTGAGTGCACGTAAGCTAGGAATCCCTCTACCAAATAATCCACCATGGTTTGGGGTGTTTTGCGTTAGTGAAGATCACATAGTTGATATCTGTTATCGTATCACGGAATTATACATGCGTGCTAAGGTAAGCTTTTGCTTTCTCAATATTGATAAATTTAAAGTATAATTTATTAAAAAAAAAAAAATTATAATCTCACAGCCCAATGTCGAAAAATTAGACGCTGCTGTGGAGGAATTAAAGAAACGATATATGGAGTCTCGTAATAAAAGTAAGGAGCAAAATACGCCACCTGCAGTTACCACAGTAGATCGCAACAACGGTTCCCATAACGCTTGGGGAGGTTTTATACAACGTGCTGTTCCTTTGCCATTACCAACGGAAAATAAGTCACCCGACAAGGATTCACGTTCACGTTCGCGTTCACGATCTCGTTCTCGCTCACGTGGTTCACGCTCACCTAAATTTACTTCCCGTTCGCGTAGCCGCTCACGTTCTGCTTCAATTGGCGTAAGCGATTACAAAAGTCGGAGCAAGAAATCTCACCGCTCTCGCAGTCGTTCACGGACATCGCCTGTAAACAAAAGCAAGAAAAAGTCCAGACATTATTCACGCTCTCCATCAAGCTCCCCGCATGCAAAACATCGGAAAAGGTAAACATTTCATACTTCTTAAATAGTTCATGGACTTTATTTCTACTAATCCAATTGAATAATTGCAGGAAATCACCACGGGAACATGATCGGAATGACTACTACTCCAGTAAAGAACGTATGAGCAGTAGTGATAAATATCGAGAAAGGGATAAATATCAGGAATACAAAGAGTCAAGTAAACATCATCATAGCTACTCCAGCAAACATCATCATGGTTATTCTAATCGTGGTTCAACACATCGTGGAGGTCACAAGCATCGTTCTAGTGACCAGGAACGCTCCCGCGATCGTAAGAGGTAAACGAGTAAGCCTCATTTATAATATATATATATATATATATATGATACGAAGCTATTACTTTCGAACCAACTCTATATAATTAATCTCTTATCATTTTCATTTTGTGCGTTTATCTGTAAAGAATAAATAATTAAACAATAAATAAATAAAAAATATATAATTTCATGTATAAGTTGTATAGATTGGAATGTGCGACGGTTAGAATTTATGTTGCTTGGCAGCACTGCGTGCCGGTTGTCAAAACCGGAAAAAAATAAACAAATTACAGCTGTCAAGAAGGAACAGATAATGGGAGTGATGTGAGGGACAAATTTTACTTTCTAGTTCGGGTTTCTTATCCTTTTGTGATACAAAAAAATTTTTATAAAAGCTATTTTATTATGTCTGAAGTTATAGAAATTGATGGAAGTTATTTAGAAGGAGGCGGACAGATATTGCGAAATGCACTTAGCTTAAGCTGTATTCTTCGCCGACCCATAAGAATTATAAAGATTCGAGCTAACCGCCCCAACCCAGGACTTTCTAATCAACACCTATTCGGTTTGAATCTTTTGCAAAGTATAACCGGAGCGCGTGTACAAGGTAATCAAATGAAATCCACAGCTATTGAGTTTCATCCTGGAGATATCAAGTCTGGACATTATAAAGTGGATACACTAACTGCCGCGAGTATCGCATTAGTACTACAAGCTGCGCTGCCCGTATTGGTATTTGGAAAAAATACTTCCGAATTGGAACTAATAGGTGGCACAAATGTTGGCATGGCACCGCAAGTAGATACCATGAGTGAAGTTTTACGTCCAAATTTGGAAATGTTTGGAGTATCATTTGATTTCGATTTGCTACAGCGTGGCTATTACCCTCGTGGTGGAGGACGTTGTAAAGTAGTAATTCCCCCAGTACGTAATCTCAAAACGGTAAATTTAACATGCTTTGGTGAAGTAAATGAGATATGTGGTTGGTGTTTTGTCGCAGGCAAACTGCCAATGCATATAGCTACAGAAATGAAAAAGGCTGCGGAGGTGGAACTACAAAATATATGCAGAGTTCAGCCAGTATTAGAAGCATACAAAGAAAGTTTGGAAGTTACACGCGACAATGGAAGTGGTGTTATATTGAAAGCTGTCACTTCAGAGGGCTGCACGATTGGCTCATCAGCTCTTGGCGAACGGAGAGTAGATGGTCATGAATTAGGTAAAAAAGCAGGAACAGAATTGGCGAATTATTTGAGAGAAGGTGTTTGTGTTGATTGTCACGTACAAGATCAATTGATAATATTTATGGCACTGGCGCATGGTACCTCCAGAATACTAACCACAGAACTCACACAACACACGCGTACTGCAATGCATGTGGCCGAGCTAATGACTGGATGTAAGTTCTACCTAGAGACCAATGAAAAAGGACAAGTCATATTATCCTGCAATGGTATTGGATATGAAAACAAGCAGATGTAAATCTAAGTAAATATTTATTTAAAAAAATATTAAATAAAACCACATTTTTCAAAATTTGTCATACTAAATTCGTCTGAAAATAGCCAAGAAATGATCACCTTTGTTCCGAACAACTTTAGTGCCTTCCTCGCTGCTGTGATATAATTTTGGTGTAATGGGATCGGCTTTCTGAAAATACATAATAAGTACTCACTTACGGTTTCAAATATAAATAAATTTTTTTATTTCAAATCACCTCATCTTCGTCAGTTAATCTTTCGTACAACGGATGTTTTTTCATGTGTTGTACAATCCAATTATGAAGATCCTCCACATCAGTCATTGTATAAACAAGTCCTCCTTTACGCAAAACATAAGCGTATTCTGATAATAAAGCCTGATTTATTATACGCCACTTATGTTTAGCACGCTTGAAGTGTGGATCGGGGTATAGGAAAAACATTTTATCCAGCTGTGCTTTTCGGAAGTAATTTGGTAAGTATTTCATGGCGTTTGTACGTAAGCAAGCAATATTATTGTATTTTCCTGGATGCAACGTGCGCAGCGCCTTAATTCGATCCATGACATAGTCCGAGACTTTTACACGAATTTCTAGACCAATCGCTAATCGATCGGGAAACATTTCGCCAAGAGTGACTAGGAATCCACCATATCCACAGCCAATGTCAGCAAACTCAACATGTTGATCAGGCGTTATATTGGGGTAGAATTCTTGCCAAATAACATTATCTGGGTGAGCTGGACTAGGAGATGTATTTATAGAGCACATTAAATCACTGAAATTAATAATATTAAAATGATTAAAGTATCTTACTAATCAAAGCAGTGATCAGCTATGGGATTTGAGTGTGCTCGTTGACGGTAGTATCGCTTTTGCGGCAGGGAAATGCTGCATGGTTCCTGCACCATGTTTACTTTTCTTTGTCACTTTAACAAATTCTAATACAAGCAGGAATTCACAATATTCACTCAACAAACAAGAATGCTGTTTTGTACGTTAGTTCACCGACTGCCCATGCTTATTTGATTGTACACACATACAAACGTCAATTTTGACAGCTCTTGTGCAGAAAACGTAAACAAAAGCACGTGTACACGGTGGTATTATTTTAAAATTAAAACTAAGAAATACAATTATTTTTAAATAGCCGCATTAAGTGAAAATGTCAGAACTAATAGAAGTGCTTTTCACCAGTGATTCCAATGAATCGCAGGCTTCCATTACTGCGTTGGACTACAAAACTGGTACTAATTTAATGACCTATAAAGCTGGTGGTGTCGTTCAACCGTGTTCTATTTCATTATTGAGTCAACACTATATCCTGGCAGCAAATAGTACTAAGCCTCTACTTCATGTTTGGCCTATTAACTCGCAACAGCAGTTAACATCTGTACGTTTTGTGCTTCCTGGTCGTGCCAATTCGGTGGAAATTTCGCCCGATAATCTTTATCTTGTTGCAGCAATACAAGAAAATATTTACCTATGGCAATTGTCATCCGGAAAAATGCTGAATACTATCTCAAAACATTTCCAACCCATCAATTGTATACAATTTGATGAAGATTCACATTTTGCTTCGGCTGGACAAGATGGTAGTGTAATGATATGGAACTTGACGACTGTGTGTGCACGAGATGATGACAGCCAAACGCCGGTATATACTTTCAACGATCACGGCCTTCCAGTGACTGATGTGCATATAGGCATGGGTGGCATACGTGCACATATGATGACTGTGTCGCTAGATCGAACTTGCAAAATTTATGATCTGTTAATAGGTGCTCTGGTTTTGAATGTTGTATTTACTGAAGCTTTACATAGTGTCACAGCAAACTCTTTGGAAACATCTGTTTACGTAGGAACTTGTGACGGAAACATTTATGAATTTAATACAGATGTTGGCGCTGAGAGCAAGGTTTGTTACCTATACTTAATGAACTATAAAATAATGTACTGGAATATTTTTTCTTTCTTTCTAACAGGAAGTTCACATACAGAAGGAGTACTCAAATCTTTTTAAAGGACACAAGGAAGATACCGCAGTTACTTGTCTAGCATTATCAATAGATGGTCAAACACTGATCTCTGGTGGTCAAGATGAGCAAGTTTGTATTTGGGACATTGCAAGTCGTCAGCTTATAAAGCGTATGCAGCACAAAGGTCCTGTAACAAACATTAAATTACGTTTAACTAACCCAGACATATTCAAACCGGAAAATAAACCCCCTAAAAGATTTTCCGGAAATCTCCGACGTATGCTTGACCCACCAGAAGCTGACGATGAAGATCTCATTGAAATTATGGTAACCGAAAGACTTGAATTGCCTTATAAAGATGATTGGTGGCCAATGCCTGAATATCCAGTTGTTTACAATGAAAACACTACCACACCCGCGAATAATACGTCGACATCAACCTCTGCTACATTCAATGCCACAGATGAGGACGCGGCAAAAGAAATAGAAAGATTACGAGCGGAAGTAGAACATTTGAAGTTGGTAAACAAACAACTATTCGAAGTGTCTGCGAAGCAATTATTAGAGTCGAAAAAATAACGTTTAGTTTGTACTATTTTTCTATAATTGTTGTCAACACGAATAAATTTAAGTTAAATAGTAAAACAAGCAGGAAAATGTAAACAAAGGTTTCGCGGGCCTCTAATACTTTTGTGTTTGCACTCTCTGTGCTATAATTTTACTCTGCTACATTGGTGTTTTCATCTGCATCATTGCTCCCAGCTTTGCTACTAATATTTGCTGCTGCTAAAGCCGCAATGGTTTCTTTCTCTTTGTCTTGCGCTATTTGTTGGCGTATTTCTCGATTAGAATCAAGCAATACCCTCAGCTGTGCAATGATATCGTCAGTACGTTGCTCGAAAAAGTCCAGTGCTCGGGTCAATTCGTCAAGGCTTTCGTTCACTTCTTCAACTTCTGGAAATCAAACAATATTTTGCTGGTACTTAGTAACACAGTGTTTAACGTATTTCGTACTCACCTTGCAGATCAGATTCATCTGCCTTGGTGGAAGAGTTGGCATCCTCTGGATCGTCGATATTTTTGGGAGTCATTTTGTATACAATGTTGCTGCTTGGGTCAGCTGACTTTTCCATTTGTTTTGTTCTGTTACCATGAGCTTTATTGACGTATTTTATGATTTTTTGCGAAAAACGTCAAGGCAATGAAACTGAAAGCTTAAGTTTCCAGTGATTACAAGTTACAGAATGAAAGAATTTAAAATTCAATTTAGTGGCCAAAATCATACATTATTTTAATTTTATATGAAAACATCTGAAGAAAAATGTAACAAAATGAGAACGTGCATACGTGATTCGTTTTCTACTCAAAGTTTTTATATTTACACGTAAGTAAAGAATTTTGTGTTATTTGTTTTTTGGTTTGACGTATACTACGTTATGCTTCATTTCCACTCGGGCTTATTCTACTCGGGTAGATTAAACTGGCAACCATAAATACTTTTTCACCTCGAGGTAAAGCGACTACTCGGATCGATTACACAAATTTTCTCTACAAAGGTAGAAGCGTTAACTCGGTAGGCTTAACCCGAGTCGAATAAATCCGAGTAGAAAGGAAGACTTGCGTAGTAGTATGTTATAGGTTCTCTGGCGTTAACTCGGTATCATAAGCGCGGATTAAGTTGAAATCAGCTGATATTCATTTAACCTTATTGATACAGAGTTTCCGCGTAGCTAAATTTTTGCCTAATATACAATTATTTACCTAAAATTTCACGAAAATTTACCAAAATTTAGCAAAGTTGGGCTTGGCTGCCCTGATAGAGCATTTGGCGCTTTGTTTGTAGGATTAACCCGAGTCGAATAAATCCGAGTAGAAAGGAAGAGTTGCGTAGTAGTAGTTAACTGAAACCCTTTTTAGAATTTTATTAGCTCAAGGCATCTCTGTGTGTTTTATTTACAAACAGCTGTTTTAGTGTATTACATGAAATATATCAAATTTATTTTGCGAGAATTTTGTTTTTAAATTTAAATATAATATTGATTTTCTGGTAAGTTTATTTATCACACTAGTGTTTTTAAGGCCATTATTAAATTATTTCAAGAGAAATTACAATTCGCTTGTGTGTTATTTAACAATTGTGTATGTGTTTTGAGAACCCGTAAATATTTATTTATTATTTTGCTTTTGGTATTCAATGTTAAAAAAACTAAAATGATTGTAAACGTTAGGCCTTGTTTAACTAGAAATGAATTAAAAAATGTAAGTGCGTATAAACGATTGTGTATGTGACTTGTAGTGACTGAATGCCTTATCAACGGAAGCGTTAGTTGTATTCCTACATCATTTGAACTTGCATGGATAGCAGTCATACTTATAACAGGAAATCGTTGTTTCCCAAAACCTCTCGCTACTAGACAAATGGAAATTTGGAAGAGTGGTCGCACTCCTAAAACCTTGGAAAACAAACAACTTATAGAAATATCACTTCCCTTCAACGGGCTCTCGCCTCCACGCCGTATGTGTTCAACGCTACTTCATCTTGAATTCTGGAATTTATGCCTGGAAATAACTTTAAGAATAACTAAACACTCAAGACTTCTTTCGACAAAATCAACATTCTTAAAAAGCGTACTTGAACCTCATAACGAAAATTTTTTTATAAAATACACATATCACATACATTCATATGTACATCTATAATACACATTTATAACATCTTCTACAGGGAAAAGTAAACACTCATATCTGTGCCAACATGAATACCATGACCAATGTGAAAAACGTCCTCAAACTTAGTGAATCTGATTTAAAAGGAGGCAAGAAATCATGGCATGATATGTACAAGGACTCGGCATGGCTATTCATTGGAGGCTTACCCTACAATCTAACAGAAGGCGATGTGATCTGCGTATTCTCACAATATGGCGAAATTGTTAATATTAATTTGATACGAGATAAAAGTAGTGGTAAATCAAAAGGATTTTGCTTTCTTTGCTACGAAGATCAACGTTCCACCATTTTGGCTGTCAATAATTTGAATGGCATTAAAATACTTGGACGCACAATACGTGTAGATCATGTTGCCGACTATAAGCCACCGAAGGAAAATGAGAAAATGGACGAGGAGACATTAAGATTGTATATGGAGGGCTGTGCACCGAAACCGGTTGTGCAGAAAAAAGAGCGATCATGAATCATGAATATTGTGTATATTATATATTATGTATAATATTGTGCGACTTATTTCTAAGTTTAATAAATATATAATTTTATAAGCCATTTTAAAAGACGATTCACTAATATTGTTCACGGGGTCGGGCCCTTCCTCGTAAAAATCAGCTTCAATGAAAAGTAACAAAAAGCATCGGATTTACTTGAACTATATATAGGTTATTAAATTTGGTGTGGGAGAGAGAATATATATATTTAGTCCCATCCCGTATGAAATCTATATTTTTCAATATGTAGGTTTTTTGTTTGTTGATTCTTACATCTGGGTAGGCAAAGAAGGCAACCAACAAGCTGTCAGCGCTTTCGCGTCTTAGCTCCCATGCCGCAATTGACATCTCACTAGTCAGCACCAGAAATTTCCGAGAGAAAGGTTTTGGAATGATTTATGGTCCCTTAAGCATAATAATACCGCACCTCGTCGGACCCGAAAAGATGCGCGAGCTATTTTGAGCCGACTTTTCACACTGCATCCCTCGGTAGACAAAGCGAAACGACCTGTAACCCGCCGTATGCGCAAACTGCCAAACACCAGCGCGGTGCTTGATTTCTCCAGGGAAAAGGTTCAGGGGGTCATCGGGAAGGCGAAAGCCTCCAAATCCATCGGCCCCGACGGAATAAGCATGTTGACGCTGAAACACCATGGACCAGCGGGAGTAGAATTTCTCACGAGGGTCCTCAATTTGTCTCTGACGGGTAGGGTGGTCCCGCTACTTAAACCGGGGAAACCAGCCAACAAAGGAGAGTCTTATCGGCCGATAACTCTCCTCTCCCCAGTAGCGAAGATACTTGAGGCCTTACTGCTCCCGACTTTCACTCACCGTCTGCGTCCAGCAGCGCATCAGCACGGCTTCCTAACAGCACCACAACAGCACTTAACGCCCTAAACACCCAGATAGTCCATGGCCTTAACCAAAACCGACCCTGCACGCGAACTGTCCTAGTAGCACTGGACTTGTCAAAAGCTTTTGACACAGTCAATCACTCAGTGCTACTAACGTGTAACATCTAAACCCCGCTACTGTTTAATTTTTACATCTCGAGACTCCCTCCACCACCAGAAGGAGTTTCCCTAACCTCTTATGTCGATGATTGTACGATAATGGCGTCTGGCCAGAATATTGATGACCTCTGTTCGAAAGTGAACGGCTACCTCTCTGATCTCTTCCACTTCTTTACTGCAAGACATCTACGAATTCAGCCGACAAAATCCTCGGCTACCCTCTTCATCAGCTGGACGGAGGAGTACAGGCTTGAACTAGATGTGAAGTTCGATGACACAAAAATTACGGTGGTAAATAACCCAAAATTATTGGGAGTAACACTAGACAGCCTGTTCTCCTTCACTCCGCATACGACCGCAATTGCCGCGAAACTCCAGAGCCGCAACAAAATACTCAAAGCGCTATCCGGCAGCACATGGGGTAAAGACAAAGAAACTTTGCTGGCTACTTATAAAGCAATTGGCCGGCCGGTCGTAAACTATGCTGCCCCGATCTGGGCGCCTGGGACGAACGAGACGCAGATGAAGAAGTTACAGGCTTGCCAGAACACCGCCCTCAGGACCGCGACAGGAAACCTCCTGATGTCGCCGGAACCTCACTTGCATAGGGAAGCATCTATGCTACGAGTTAAGGAGCATAATGCTTTGGTGCTTAAGCAGTTCCTATTTGGGAAGGGTGGTAGGGTAGGCACCTAATAGAAGCTGAACCTCCACCTAGGCACATCAGAAAGGGAGTACTAGACCTAAAGGACACAATCCGGCAATATGTACAACAACCGCTCGTTTCCTGGACCTACCATTAGATGACCTCGGCGACTTAGACTGATAAAACCAGTGCCTTAGCGGGGTTAGCGAACCGCTACAACAACAACAACAACAACAACAACAACGAATACCACAGACGATGAAAGGGTATGAAAGCCCTTATTATTATTATTTTTATTAATTTTTTGTTTTATTTTATAAAAATGTTTATTTCCAATTATAAATTATACATTTTCAGACTTCCTTGAAGTAAAATTTTGTTACAATTATTAAATAAAAATGATTTATCACAACATTTCTAAAGATAAATGCTTCTATTCGTAAGATGCCATTACTGGGCATACGAATAAAGAAGTATTAATTTTACATTTTAAAACAAAAGATATGTAAGGAAAAATTATGTATAGATGTATGTATAATATTAACTGTATTCAGCGTTAATCCTTATAAACAGTAGTTAAAGCAAAAAATTTACAAATCTACTCGCGATGAAGTTGTCAAGATAAGAATATAGAGATCTGTTCAGCGGCTTAGTCACTGTCTATCTATGAATTTTACGATGTTTTTTAATTCCTGTAATGTTTCCAAATGAAAAAGGTAAAATAATTGAAAAAGCTTAACAATTTATCATCACTTACTTGCGTTACAATATTGACCATAGAAACCGCGATCACATTTACATGTTTTATTCGGCATACAGACGCCATGCTTGCAGGGACGCCTACAGGTTGAGCGTTGCCTGCGCTCGATTTCACAATGATTGCCGAGCAAACCGCTTGGACAGCGACAAATATTGGTGCCTATGCAACGTCCTCCATTTTTGCAGGGAATCACACATTTTGCTGTGAATTAAAAAAAAAGTTTGTAATTACAAAAAAAAAGAAAAATGCATAGGAAGGAAAAATTAAAAATAATTTAAAAATAAAAACTCACAAAATTCACAGTGCAATCCATAGTATCCTTTGGAACATTGACATTTATCCTTTTGTATGCATTTACCACCATTCAAGCATTTTTCGGAGCATATGCCTGGAAAATGTTATGTTGTAATGAAACAAATTTTTCGATTCTTAATATCAAGGACTTTTCGAAACATAACATAGAGAGCTCTTCAAATTGTTTGGTCCCAGAACTTATTGTCTTATTATTTGTTTAACCTATTCATTCACTTCAGAGTTCAAAATGTAAGGCATAGCTTTAGGCACAGTAGCTCTTACTATAGTAATGAGTTGTGTAAGACTCAAATTTCGTTTGCCAATATGCTCAGTGGGCACCATATGAGTCCCATAAACAAGTTAGCACGAAAAGCGCCATGTATACACACATATATATATACACTTTTTTTGGAAAAAAATTAAAACTTTAATTTTTTTTTTGAAATCTTTCAGCAATTTTCAATAATTTTTGTTCTAAAAAAATTGTAAATTTTCCATTTCAGATTTCTAATTTCGATTTGATAACACATCAACTGAAATATGTTGCGACTTTCGAATATCTCCCACAGCAGTTGGCGACTAATGCAGTGCCAGCCAATCCCTTTACAAAAATCGCAGAGGCCCATTACAACCCAACAGCGTTGCCGCCAAAAAGAGGAACCGAACACGACAAAGACGACGATGCCTCTACGAAAGCGACCGACACAATTGACAGATGAGATCATACGTGTTGATCACGCTGGTGAATTGGGTGCCGATCGTATTTACGCTGGACAAATGGCTGTATTGGGTAATGGACCAATGGGCAAGACGATAGCGCATATGTGGGAACAGGAGAAGGAACATCGCAGAAAATTCGAAAATCTCATACACGAACACAGAGTGCGACCGACAATAATGGTGCCAATTTGGAATGTGGCGGGCTTTATGTTGGGTGCGGGTAGGTGGAAAATATAGTTTAAGGAAATTAAATTTTATGCTTATTACATACATATATTATATGTATATAAGTGAATTTCTTTTATTCCTTTAGGCACGGCTTTATTGGGTGAGAAAGCCGCCATGGCATGCACTGTTGCCGTCGAAACAGTCATTGTTGAGCACTACAATGAGCAACTGCGACAGATTATGGAGTCATCAAAGCCAGATAAGGTATTTAGTTGCTCAATCACAAAGTGAAAATGATTTTTTAAATTTACAATTTATTTAAATATTTGCAGGAACTCTTGGCCACGATAACGAAATTTCGTGACGAGGAACAGGAACATCACGATACGGGAATCGATTGTGGCGCTGAGCAGGCACCTTTTTACAAAGCTATAACCGAAGTTATAAAAGTCGGCTGCAAGACAGCAATTGCCATTTCGAAACGTATTTAAATAAAAAAAAATCTTCAAAGAAGTTTACCCTTAAAGCACGTTAATTTCATATTTGTAAAGTATTTGTTTTAATAATAATAATAATAATAATTACGCAAAACTTCCGCTACTCACCTCCTTCACATTGCGTACCCTGATAGCCTTCGGGGCAGGTACACACCGACGGTGCCGTACAATTACCACCATTTAGGCATTGGGGAAAACAAAAAGCCGTCTGGCAATACTGACCCGTGTAACCAGCTTTACATTGGCAAATTTTATTGTGATTACAAAAGCCATTATCGCCGCATTTTAAATTACACTCCGGATCGGGACCTTAAAATTTTCAGTTGAATAGTAAAATAGCTGTGCTACATATACATATACATAAACTTAATAAATGTTTATAATTATAGCTATTATATGTAATGTAGGCTTACTAAAAGCATTGGCAAACAACAATAAATATGTAGATATGTATGTATGTATTTGAAAATTCAATAAGCAATAGCAGCTAAGCCCAGTAGTAGGACGTCCCAAGTATTCTACAAATCGACAAGTAAGGTATTAAAATTATTATTTGTAGTAAGTATGTACGTTTAAGCATGTGTGCATGTTTAATAACATAATGCATTAGTTTAAATTTAGTTATTAATTTATAAGCAAAGTGTTTTCTTTAAATTTGTTTTTATAGTTGGGGAAATGCTATAGAAGCGACAGAGAAAATATGTATATGTGTGTTTGTAAGCAGTGTGAGAGTGAGCGCTATAGTTTTTTTGTAGTAAATTGTTCAACACGGTCTGCTTATTTCATCGAAGTCAATACGTGTTGTACCATAAACCTTCCTTAAAGCTTTGTTAGCGAATACTGCCAGAGCCGATTAGTCAGATGTCGAAGCCCTCGTTTCTACACCAATAAGCAGGGCGGGAATGATGTGCTACTTGTAGACTTTCATCTATTTTCAAGGGGGACTTTGGATTTCTAGGTAGACCAGATCATCTACAACTTTAAATTTATGACTGTACAGTGAGATGGCGATAGATATTTCGTTTTGTCCTCATTCACTACCGCATCCACTCACCTCGCTTCCATCACCTCTGCGGGTTAGCGGTTCAAGAATTAACCCGAGGTAAGGCATGCCTGTCGTAAGAGGCGACTAAAACCCAATAGTTCCCGCGACTGTCGAGTCTTTATAACGGAAAGACCAGGATTTTTTATCCGGCCAAGGACTGTCACTCCCGCAACATTTCCCAAAAATTACTTTGAGGAATATTTTTGTGGTTACAACAACAATAACAACAACAACCTCGCTTCCATGTCATATCTCGAGAAAGCAGAACTTATAGCGTGGACGTGACAATCCTTACCTATCGATTGCCGAAATAATTCTAAAATTTCAGACTACAGAAGTGTCTTGAGGCAGTCACGTCCTATTGCTGCCGATTTTTTTTGTTAAAGATTTCACACTCGGAGAGAAAAAAAACTAGAGCCCTGTTACCGCTGAAGCGATTTTCGGTTGAGCTCTTCCTCTGAATCGTGGTGTGCGTTTTGGTGATTTTGCAACAAATGAAGGAACCTACAGTTTGATCTAAGCCGCCTCCGAACGGTCGATTGATTCTTATATAGAGCCTTCTATTTCATCTCCGAAAAACTATTAGGAGCTTGACTTTCCTTGTTTTTCCAAATTCCTTTCCTAATTTTCTATAAATTTGGATGTTGGCCATCCGCATGTTAGCACGTAATATTAATCACTCGGTTGTCTATCCAGGTACCTAGTGAGCTCTAAAAAGTGCAGTTTAGTTTATGATATTGAAGTCAACGGGAGGCAGGGAAGAGACTAGAGGGAAAACCGGCTTGAGATGGTTGATGGTTAGGGTCTCGAAAGTAAAAGAGGAGTCAGCAACAATACGTGTACGCAGAATCTTTGCCTTCCAAATGTGCCTTTCATTATAATTTGAACAGGAGATAGTAAAATTTATGGAAATCACAAGTCGAACAATTCACAAAACATCTAGCAACTCACACTCACTTAGAATTTTTTGAAATTTTTTTTTTTAATTTTGAAAAAAGTATGTTGATTAGAAGCCAATGTTTTTCTTTTTTTTTAATTTAAATAGTTTTAATGTATGTACATATGTTTGTTTGTATTGGAAAGCATTTATTTTTATACACTACCTTGCGAAGATGTTAGTGTAGAGATGGAAGCGTTACCTCTGTGTGCGCATTCCTTTTTAAAATTCAAACGTATCGGTGTACCAGGCAACGGCTTCCCCCGACGATTTTGTATTGACAAACCAATAGTGAACATAGCCGTGCCGGAGCTATTGTGAGCACATGGCATGAAAATGCTGAAATCTACAAAGAAAACCTCATTAAAATTTCCACAGAAAACAGATGTTGAAATTTAATATTTAATTAATGTAAATATAAAAATGGAAGTAGAAATTCATGAAGGGATAGGTTTTAGTGCATATAGCTGGCGACCTTTCAATACATCTCGTACGTATTCAGACCGAAAGCGGAACAGATTTTGGAAAGTTTTCTATTTTCTGATCACCTTTTAAGTGTTTATTTCCAGCTTCATCCCATAGAAAATTTGAAAACTTTACCCAGAAAAAAGTGTTGAGGAGGGTTTATGGCGTTCTTTGAAATGTTAGCTCGGCTGCTGCTTATGGTGTTTTCCATGACCAAAAGAGAGAGAATTTCTGGCATCAGTTAACGCTTTGTTGGAAATTTTTGGCTTGGTGGCAGGCACACGAAGCTACGAAAAAGATAACGGTAGATGGGTTGATCATTAAACTCAGTAGTGTTGGAAATCGTCGAGTCTGACCATCATGTGTGCACTCTTTCGATTGCCATCGAGCTAGACATTGCGGTAAAAAAACAATTTGAAATCATTTGAAAAAGACTAGATTCACAAAGAAGCTCGATGTATTATAAATGCCACATGAGTTAACGTGAAAAAGCCCGATGGACCATATTTCCATCTGCGAATCGCTGCGACCCATTTCTAAAGCAGATGGTGACTGAAGCCAGGAAGATTTTTATGTGTCCTTGTGTTCTCATCCACTATTGCCAAAGGGTTAATTTGACCCTCTGAAGCAAGGAATCGCCCAGAAGTGCTAAGCTTAAGCCAACAGGAGGAGAATGTCAGACCGCACACATCCATAGTAATTCAACAGTAGCTCCGAAAGCTTGGTTAGAAGGTTCTTAACCATCCGGTTAATCCGGACTGAACTTCGCATTAAAACATTACTATCCATTCGTGTCTATGGCGAATGACTTGATGATGAAGAATTGACCTCAACACAATCCTGTGAAAATCGATTGTCCCAATAGGGATAAGGTGTTCTATGAGAGAGACATAATGACATTACCTTAAAAATGATAAAATGATAATAAAAAAAAATTTTTTTTTTGGTCAAATTCGTTAAACATTTTTGTTTTAAAATAGTAGTCCTTCTTCCAATCGTCTAATTCTCCGTGAAAAGGATCTCGAAGGCCTGTGTAAAGTTTCACCAAGACCGTCTGAGAAGTTTTCGAGAACTCTCGACAGCCGAAAGATGCGCTTAAAGCGCTGAGCCAACTCGCCTTTGAGCACGCATCTTCCGAAACTTTTATTCGGATCGGCTGGAAACTTAGGATTATAATATCAGTAATTGTTGTAGAAATTAAAAAGGCAATAAAAAAATTCATTTATTTTTTCAAACTGTGAAACCCATGTAACCCCTTAGAGGCTTTATAAATTTAAAAAATATGGTTCTAAAGGAGACTATTGGCTTAAGCTGAAAGTCAGTGCGAGGTCGTAATACAGTTGCCAAAGCTCATCACCGCTGCTTGATTATTTCCCATCGATCGTCTTTTTCGATTTGTTTTGAAAAGGGTCTAACCGTACTAAATGACCGCGGAATAGATAGATGATTTTTATAGAAAACTTTGTTTTTACATAAGAGGAGCACAAAAAAACTGTTTCGGCATTAGTCTGACATTTTAAATATTAGTCATGAAGCCTTACCTTTTTCTTCCGCCGGTATACGTCCTTTCTCATCGATCGACAACTTGGGATCCCTCAAAATATGATGATCTAAGGAGTGCAGCCGATCGAAGTGATAAAAATATTTTCTGCTACCCGATTTCCATGTAAAATTCACATAATTGACTTCAGCGGGTATAATCAGAAATTTATAGATATTGATTTCGCGTAAATCATTGACGACCTGACCGTTTTCGATGGCATAGATGCGACCATGCGACCCAAATCCTTGTGGAAAGAAAAGTGCTTTAATCTTGAAAATCAGATCGGTTTTTTTTTTTACGAAAAGGTATCAGCGCACGGGGAAGTCTCTTTGATTCTCATATTATGTATGTGTGTATGTATGTATGTATGACAAATGACGGAGACTTCCCCTCAATAAATACATTACCACTTAACATATTCAGCTGCTGCTCATTGATCCACAATGAAAGTTTATCTTTCTTTTTACGATGCCCCCGACGATGTCCATTTCCCATATTTTCGCCTCCCATGCCAACGCGACCACCACCAGAACCACCACCACCACCGCCGCCATCATCTTGTAAGCTTCTCAATTCGCGATCGGCATCGTTTGTGTGTGTGTGTTTTTGTTGTTTTTTGCATTCGATCAGACAGCTCCGGCAGAATAGCAGCATCAGCGATATTAGATAGAACCATTTAATAGCTGAAGTTTGTGTATGGCAAAGCATTTTTCCCTGTAATGACATCAATACTATATGATGAGCTGGCATATTTGGTTGTGAGCGCTAAAATAAATATGTACGTACACATGTATGCATGTATATATGTACGCACGAGTATGTACAGTGGTGTGTACATTATGCATACTAGCGCAATAGAAAATAAATAAATAAATTATTTGCTATTGATGGCAAAACCACTGCATAGTCGGCGTGTAACCGTTATTGGTAAGTACAGGAATGAATATGAAGTGCTTTTCTAGCGAAATATTTCTTTTATCGCATCGTTTAAATGACTGTTTTAGGAGCTTTTCCAAGAATAACTCGTTGCTGGTATTCCGTGTTGCGTTGTATAAAGTGCATAAGGACAGTGGGGAAGAGGAAGAGCAAAGTACTGCAATTCTAATCTTGACAAATAACGGCAATACGAGGCTAAAAAAAAATAGTGAACGACTTGTAAACTTGTATTTTTCTAAGAAAAATTCTCAAAATATTTTAAAGCGTTTTTAAGATTTAGCGGGCTTGAGAGTGAGTTAAAGTGCTTTAGTAAGCTCATCCTACTCCGACTATACAGTTATATCTTAATAAAATGCAATCAAACAAACCCTAGCAGAGCTATGCACTTGTACCGACATCTCTGGGCTGGGTAAAAGGTACTGAAAGCAAAAACCCGCTCATTTGTCTAGCAGCAGTTCACATGGGATCAGAAACGTCTCCGTTCGCTATTCACGCCAAGGAGCAGGCGAAAAAAGTTTAAGTCACCGAGGTTATTTAATGGGAGAACCAGGATACGGGTAGTTCCGGCGGGGAAGTGGGGATTAGAGCTTTAGGGCGCATGCAAAGAGGTGGTTAAGAAGTCGGACAAGTCTAGATAGGTAAGAATTAAGTTGACTAAAATTTCCTGAACATTATTTTACCAAGATTATTGGATGAGTGCATAAGTTCGTGCCCGATTCCGCTGGATACCGTTCGAATCGTTTGAGAGTGGCGCTCGTGAAAGCAATATATACATATTATATATCGTTGGAGACGTGACAGTCCGAACTGTAAATCAAGCATAAAATAACTTCATGTTGATTTGAGTTGCTTAGTGGAAAGACGCATGGAAGATGGACAACGAAAAAGATCATATGCGTCATATTATGTTATACGAATTCCGCAAAGGAAAAACAGTAGGCACTGCAACTAAAGATATTCGCGAAGTTTATTTGGACCGTGCTCCAGCACTCCGCACAGTAAAGAAATGGTTCGCGAAATTTCATTCTGGAGGTTTTTTCCTCGAAGATCCATCTCGCAGTGGACGGCCTTCTGAGCTTGATGACGATGTTCGAAGGACTTTAGTTGCGAATAGGTCACGTATTTCGACGGAAGAGGTTGCCAGTGAATTGAACATCAACAAATCAACTGCGTTTCGTCGTTTAAAAAAGGTTGGGTACACTTTGAAGCTCGATACATGGGTGCCACATCAGTTGAGTGAAAAAAACAAAGTGGACCGTATGTCAACAGCAATTTCTTTGCTTCGACGGATCAAAAACGAACCTTTTTTGGATCGGCTCGTGACTGGTGATGAAAAATGGATCCTGTACAACAATGTTCAACGCAAAAGAACATGGAAACAGGCACACGAAGGGGCGGAACCGATGTCGAAAGGTGGATTGCATCCGATGAAGGTACTGCTGTGCATTTGGTGGGATATCCGAGGCGTGATCTATTTTGAGCTCTTGCCAGCTGGAGAAACGATCACTGCCAACAAGTATTGTCAGCAATTGGTCGAATTGAAGAAAGCAATTGATGAAAAACGTCCGATTTTGGCCAATCGCAAAGGAGTTCTTTTCCATCATGACAACGCCAGGCCACATGTTGCAAAACCGACCCTGGCCAAACTGAAGGAGATGAATTGGGAAATCATGCCGCATCCCCCATATTCACCCGACATTGCACCTTCTGATTATCATTTGTTTCGATCGCTGCAGAACAATTTGAATGGAAAAAAATTTAAAAATGTGGAAGACGTCAAAAACCACCTTGACACCTTTTTCAACGAGAAACCGCGCGATTTCTATGAATCAGGCATCCGTAAATTGGTTGAACGTTGGGAGTGGATTGCCGAACATGATGGCGAATACATAATTGATTAATAAAAGCGCTTTCTTCAAAAAATTTCAATTTTAGTTTGCACTTGAAATCGGGCACGAACTTATGCACTCATCCAATATTTGGGCAGTTAGAGCTTTGGGTCGGCAAAAGTCGTCTTATCCAGCGGTTCTTGTTTACGCCGTCCGGTAATTTAAGCAAGTTGCTTTTGTTGTAGTTGCAGTTCGCCAACCCCGCTTAGGAACAGGCCAGATTAGTCTAAGTCATCGAGGTCATCTATCGGTAGAACAAGAGAGATCGGGACGCGACAGGTGGAAAATCTAGGCTCCATTCAATTTGAAGAAAAGACGTCATAGGGCAAAAATTGTTTCTATGAACGCCAGAAAAGATACTTAAATGGAAGGATTTTCTTGGTGGCATCAAAGAGTTCTAAATTATAGAGAATCTAGATATATAATAATATATAATATCAAAAATGCCCGTTGAGATCTGCCTAGTTCAACACCTAAATGTGAACGCTCCAAGGCAGGGCAAGTCAATACGTGTATTTGTGACATGGCGACGTCGTAAAATTAGAAATCCCTAGTTCAATAGACGGAAAAAATCAAGAAGCTTTGTATAGTATTCCGTACGATTAGCGTTCATAACAAGAAGTATTCGATAATCATTTTTCATCAATAACATTCAGTTGAATTTTCAACTGCATGCGAATCGTCCGGAATTTGGATGCCCAGACATAACTACCGAATGCTATATGATGGGGACTCACGATAGCAGAATAGGCTACTTCTTTTACAGCTGCAGTCAAACAACGAATTCCTAAGAAGAGACCAATTTAACATAACCTTAACCCCTCCGCGTCCACCAGTGGGATCTGGAATCGGTTTTTTGGAAAATTCCTGTTTAGACTATCTTGCAGAATTAACTTCAGCGTTTTTCACAAGCCCAACATTAATATCACCACGGGCCAGAAGGGCTTAAGCTAAATTAACTCTGTTAGGAATGGAAAGTAGGTGGTTGTGCTGAGAACTGTGAAAAAAACTGTGGACAGACTGGATTAAATTAATTTTGCAAATTGTAATATTTTTTACACAGCGCTACATACATAGATATATACGAGTATATGATGATCAAGTAAGTAGCCGCATTATGATTTTTTTCACTATACAAAATTGAAGCAGCTCTCCACTTGGATCAGTGATCTTCTGAGTATCATAAAGAGTCTGCAAGTGATGCAGCTTGTTTTTGAATGTAATAAATCGACTGAGAAGAATCTGAGAATTGCAAGCAATTAAAATTAATTATGCTTGCAAAGTACAAGCGGCTGCTGGACGTGATTATTAACCCATTCTCACAGCAGAAGTTCGTTGAAAAGGCGATCGTGATCACGACTATGAGCGTATGATCAGCTTGGGGTGTTGACAAGTGACTAATTTATTTCTTTTTTTTTAAAACCAAGTGAAATTAAGAAGTAATTAAAATGAAGTTATCGCCGGAAGTAAGCGCGAGCAAGACTAAGACGCTGTTACTCGAGTAGACTACGTACATAGTAAAATTATGTTATGTACTTCGGTATCGTGCGTTCGCAAATTGATGCTCCGAACAGGGCGTAACTTAAAATAATCTGCACATACTTCGCCCAAGCGATTTCCATAGTTGATTTCGATGAGGATACCTCTAGACCTGACGCAGAAGTGGTATTTTCGGGGAAGAAGATACCATCTTAATCTCCACCGACGGTTCCGAAATGAAGTACAAGCTACAGGAAGGAGTATACTGTAAGCTTTGCTGGCCGCCGCTTATGCGATAACAGCCGAGTTAACAACATTGCGCGTTTATTTTCTTCTTTTCACTCCTAGGCACCAATTGGAAATTTCAAGTATAGCCAGGACCCTCCCTACCTGGCCTTTCCCACGGAATGGAGGTTTTTCCACTCCACGAAAACTTTTAAAGTTTATCCATTCGGAGCACATGACCTAACCAATGCAGCTTGTTCTTGATGTCCCTCGCTTCGCTTAGGCGCGGCTGTTGAGGCCAATAATGTCATTATCATGGGCGTACGCCAGTAGCTGTACGCTCTTATATGATATTCTACCTCTTCTTCATCTTTTTAATTCTTCCAAACTCAGCTATCATGCTCCAAGTAAAAAGGCTAGGCATAAGGAAGGTCTGTAAAGGTCTCTTGAATAGCTAAGGGATTATTCAGAAAGCAAACATATGCACGAAGAGCCAGACATTACTGACCTCATCGTTGCCAATGATAAACTAAAGCGCCGTTAACAATCGAAGGTAGATATTGAGCTCGCTAGCAGGTCAATTCGACATTTCTATAACCTGAGCCAAGTTGGAAGCGTGTTTGGAGGATTGCGCATTGCAAGGAAATTAGGAAACAGTCTCTCTCATGAAATAAACATAGAACACTTGTAACGCATGAGTTTCATTGTGAACACCAGTTGAATCATGATAGCTGGAGTATTAGAGTCTTACGACAGTCCATAGATACAGCGGAGCTAATCCGGCATATTCATGAATGGTTGAAAAATTGAGAAATCAATTATATTACTTCGGGGCTCTTTTCTTTACTCAATAAGGCCAAATAGAATGGACAGTCTCTAACTTTATTAGGCAATCCAAGTCAATGGACAGGGAAACGCAATGATTAGGGCAACATAGAGGTACTACACTTACGGTCTAAGTTTATTGTTGCTCTCGAATCGATATTTATA